AACGTAACTTTATACTTACTGAACCACCAGCAGTCTGTAGTGAGAATCCAGGCAGCTTTCTATCAGTCTGCTTAGCAGCTCAGCCTGTGGAGGCCCTGAAAACAAAACAAAGTTCAAAAGGATTTATTCATGCTGGGAGCAAAGCCTGAGTAAGAGGAGCTCTATCACATCAAAGCATCTGTCCTGTTAATGTGTACTTAAACTAGGGCTCTGAATCCATGCCTGCTCTGCTGCTCCGTAACTCTCCGATTTCCCTGAAACAATCAGTGCACATACACGCTCACCAGCTATGTCATGAGGTACATCTTTTCAACTGCTTGTTAGCATACATTATCAATCAGTATGAGCAATTGTATCCGTAGAGAGATGAACACATGACCTGCTGAAGTTATAACTGAGCATCGGAGTGAAGAAGACAGGTTATTTTAGTGACTTTGAACGTGACATGGTAGTTGGTGCAAGCTGGGCTGGTCTGAGTATTTCAGAATCTGTTGATCCACTGAAACAGCTGAAATCAGAGGAGAATGGACAGACTGCTTCAAGCTGGGCACGGCAACATTAATGTAAATAACCACTAATTGCAACCAAGGTATGCAGAAGAGCATCTCTGAATGCACACCACGATGAACTTTGAAGCAGATGGGCTACAGCAGCAGAAGACCACACCGGGTGTCACTCCTGTCAGTAATCTCCAAAAGTTGATTCTGTTCATCTGGACGTAGCGTTTTGTGGGAGAAACGTTTCGTCATTCATCCAAGTGACTTCTTCAGTCTCAGCTGACTGCAGGTTTCCCCAAATCTTATAAACAGGACATTTGCTGTCAGTAATAACAGGAAATGGGCTCAACAACACTGGACAATAGGAGATTGGGAAAAATGTTGCCTGGTCTGATGAGTCTCGATTTCTGCTGCAGCATTCAGATGGTAGGGGGAGAATTTGGTGTAAACTACATGAAAACACGGATCCATCCTGTCTCGTATCAACTGGTCAGGCTGGTGGAGATGGTGCAGTGATGCACTTTGCAGAAAAACTGATTGACATGTTGCATCACAGTATTAAGAAAAGTGCAGGACATATTTATCACTTTTGCACATCTCACACTGCTTTAACTGAGTGCTTGTAAACACCAGACCTTATTAAATCACATACCATCTTAGCATCTGACCAAGATCACAAACCCGCATGAAGGACATCATTAAGTCATTTCTGTAGTCACTTTCAGTGAAACGTTTTCCTTTCATCTCACCTATGTTCTCTTTCTCTAGTACTGGTCCGATTAGAGCCTGGCACACTGGTCTGGGATAGCGGCTACACAGTGATGTCACTGCGGTAACCAGACACCTGGAGGCCGGCTCTGACAGCGACAGCACCTGTAAGGTGAAACAATATTCTGTCAAGATCAAACACAGCAACACATGTTGCTTATTTTTCATATTCGGTGTTATACCTTCTCCAGCAGAAGGCTCTTGATGAGCGTTGCAGCAGTGCTGTAGCTGAGGTCAGGAGAGAGCGCCAAAACACTGCTGCACAGTTTAGGCAGCGCCTGGTCAGGTAAGCCCGGCAAATTCAGCATGCTGCATAACACCTCCACCTAAACAGGGCAGGTAAGGACCTGGGTTCAGTCCAATCACAGCTGCAGATTATACATAAAATATTGATATATTCTCTGGAGCCCAACAGAGACCAATAAGAAAATGACTCTGATACTCACTTAATGGTCCCAACCACTGGTGTCAGTCCTATATTAAATATCTTTTATTCCTCCTATAAATATGATCTTGTTTATAGGAGTGTGTGTTTAAGATACACCCTCAGCTCAGCCCGAAGGATTTTACATAGTATAACAGATTGAAAAGATTGCCCTACACCTTCATTCTTTTTAATGAACAGCAGGGGGCGACTCTTCTGGTTGCAAAAAGCAACTCCGGTTTCATGGAAATGTGTGAAAACAGCTCTTTTGCACTTTAATCGACAGTTTCTATCTTTTTGAATAGTTTTATTTTGTAATTTAAGTCAAATCCACCCATTTTCAAAAAGTAAAAGCGCAGGTTAAATTATTGAGGACATACTTGGTTTGAGTCACAGTTGTTCAGCACTTTGAACACATCTGTGGAGCTCTGGTCCCACTGAAACACACAAAGAGAATGACAGTGAGACTAAATGTCACTTACTGTCTGCACTGAATGAGCTAGAAGAAAATAAAATCTTCTTACCTCCGTCTGACTCTCCAACAACTCTTTTATCTGAGGAATACAGACCTAAATAAACACAAAAACAGTAAATCAGCTCATCATTTTACAACTTCTGCTTCTCTAAGGACAAAACAAACATTGAAATTGGCAGAAAGATTTCAGTGTGGAGAGGGTACCCTTCTTTGTATAGTGGTTTTTACCTTTATCTGTTCAGGCAGGCCATCACACGAACTGTCTGAGGCTGGAGTTTCTGCTGCAGCATCACTTTCTGGCGCTCCCGGCATTTCCTTGTTAACTCTCAGTTCTTCAGCTGTGACACACTCATTATCATCCATCTTTATCCGTTTACTCTGTGATCCCGTTTCTTCACCATCAGACCCCACGCTGACAAAACTGCCCTTTCTCTTCCTCTGTGTCCCCAGCTCAGATAAATCAGATGTACTCTGGGATTCAAATTCTGCCGTTTGACCACTGAAGCACTTGGTCCATCCTCCAGTTTCAGCAGATCCGATCAAACCCTGGGAGAGCTCCTTTAGTCTTTGGCTGCACGGTGTGGTGTACAGAGGCACCTCACGGTGGGTTTCCAGGTCTCTTTCGAGTTGTCTGCACAGAGCAGTCACCCACGGGTTTGGACGAGAGTCCTGGCTGAGACATTTGATCAGATGGAGTACAGCGGTCCGAGGAAGAACAGAGTGCACCAGGTGGATGAAGGACAGCAGGTTTTGTTTAAATAAAGGTGGAAACAGGCAGACTAGTGGTTTACTAGAAGAGGTAAGGAAAAACCAAAGAAACCGTCAGCTGGTCTCTGAAGTTGTGTAGACAAAGAAAAAGTTCATGTTTAAGAAAAAAGCAGGAGTTAGAAAAAAACATAAAACTAATTTGTGACTATCAGTATTTATGACACTTTTTTTCACAAATGTAAATCATTTTGGGGGAGATTTATGCTTGCTAAATACTGATTAAAGGGACTTCTTAGAAAGGAATTTTGTGAATTATTCTCAATCAGACTGCAATAAAAGCAAGGAAATGTGGCAAAGGACCCCAGATCTAAAACAAAAGAGGTAAAGAAACACTGATTTGATCTTCACACATGTATGTGTTTACCCTAGAATATCTATGTGAATACTAAACTAACTACATTTACGTTCAGTCTAAACGCACACAGCCTGTGGGACTGATGACTTAAGGAGGCAGAGATCCCCACCTTATAATTTAACTTTACTCACACGGTTAGAAACTCAGTGTCAGCCTCTGTGTGGGTTATTTCGTCTCTGCACAGTGTTTCTATGAAGCCACACAGTGAGCTCTCGGGGTTAGCCCGTTGCTGCCTGCGGAAGACGCCCAGCGCTCTCGAGGCCCCGGAGGTTCCGGACATCAGTGACCGAAGCAGCAGCCTCGACTGCCCGTCAAATCCGCTAAGAAACATGCCGGAGTTCAGACAGCTGTGTGCCCCATCTCCGGGTTTGTCCTTGCCGTCTCTCCCAGACACCTGTGGCTCCATCCCAACCTCACTATACCGCCACTGCTGTTTACATTTCTTCTTCGACACCGGTAAAGGGCTAGGATGAGTTTAACATCGCCACCTAGTGGTCAGATGTGCCATTCAATCAGCTCACTGGCGACACAGCACGATTTATCCGGCGGCGCATACTAGTTAAACAAAAGCCAGAAATTCCTGAATAGAACGAGCATCCTGAGGCAACCGAGATTGCCATCATGTCTCAGTCGTTTCCACTTTAAGTATCTTTGGAGACCACAGTGGAGCCACTCACCAGCATAGATAAAATACCTTTATAAAAAAAAAAAAAAAAAAAAGTTTGACTCGTCCAACTAGCCCATATTTAATTACTTAAAAAGAAAAGAAAATCCATTATGGGAATTCATTGAATTGTGTGATTTAGGCCCATACTGACCCCCAGGCCATATCGGCATACCATTCAGGGAAATACCCTGAATAGCACAAAGCACCAATGAAGAAAACAACACTTTAGTGAGACAAAGTGAATCAATGTTTTATTTTTTGTGTACAGGTACAATTTGGTTAAAAAACAGATATAAAATCATTTGTTCTTGCCAAAACTGGGAAGTGTGTGACAACTAATCATTTTTATACAGATATCAGACATAGGTACAATACACTTTTTTTTTAACCCTTGGGCAATTAAAACTACCATCTACACAACACTTTAAAAATATCTAAATGGCCCAAGCTACTAGGGAAATGTCTACATTGGCACGCTCAGAAGTTGGAAGAGAAGCTGACAGTTGGCTAAACACTTAACACACAACAGCTGTAATATTTAAAAAAAAAAAAAAAATTATAAACCCCAACTAGAAACAAAGGTGTCTTACGCTGAGACCACTAGCCATGAGTTCTGGAGTGTGCACAGACTTTGAGACAGGTTCCTGTCTGAATTCAGGAGTCCTTTAAGTGAGATGTACTTTCCACTCGATGATCCTGAGTCAAAGCTACTCGTAGGCTGTTTCAGTAATAATTTCATGAAGACACAGGTGGTTTTTAAAAAGGAAAGAAAAAAAAAAAAAAGGCAGCAGCCATGCATTTTCCAGGGACCAATGATGGTTATAGACCCCATTCAGTGGTTTCAAACACTGACAAAAAAGGAAAAAAAAAAAAAAAAAGGAGGGGGGGAGATGAGCACTCAAACCACACTGTTTTAGTAAGGTAAAAAAGTAAATTCAAGGTCGTCATCATCATCACCAAGAAGGGTCATGGCTATGAAGAAACTAATTAGATCCACTCCATCATCTTCATCCTCAAAGTCATCTTCTCCAAAATGCTGCAAAGACAAAGAGAGTGAGGGGAGAGTAAATACAACCTTATCTTAGACACACTAAGAGGGAGGAGAATGTAAAACACTCACTGATCACCATGTAGTTACCAGAAAGGACGCGCTGTGTCGACTTTTGTCATGTCTGTAAAGGCACTCGCTTTTGAAGGGGCAGCATTGGTATCGAGAGTAGTAGGTGCAGGATTTCTTACTGGAATCAAACAAGAGGCAGCAG